CAGTGGGCAAGTCAGGAGAGGTCTGCTGTGCAGAACATATGGTGACCATATGGGTCACCTCCCTGACCAGGGATCAAACTTGTGCTGTAGTGCCTGTGGTGAGCTTCACGGGTTGCATCTTAACCCCTTGTGCCACAAGGGAGTTCCCCAATAAGTGTCCTACTGTAGCCCCTTCTCTACCATTCCTCTCTCAACATTAAAATTGCACACACATTCTTACTAATACCATTGCTACCCTAATCCACAAATCCTTGCTCTGTGTTCTGAGAAGTTTTAGTTACTCATCCCTTTTAGCTCATCGATGCTCAGTTTCTTTCTGAACATAGCTGCCTGATCATTCTTTGCAAAATATCTTTGATTAAATCGTATCTCTCTCAATAATTTTGAATGGTCACTGTGCCAGATTATACATGAATAAATATCACCCCACATGCTGAGATGCCTTCAAATAAAATCTGGCTTTAACTATAAAGTTTAATACTTCACAGTTTTCTATTGGACTCTGGGTTAAACCACAAGAGAGTTTTTGAACACTTTGTAGAAAAACCTCATTGTTTTAGTTCATCCTGGCATTCAAGTAGGTCTCCCCACAGAGAATCCCCCCTACCCTACTGCCTCATCATTAAAATTGAAATGGTTTATTTCTTCCAGGTCTGTTCCAAATGTTACTACTTCCATGACGTATTTACTAATCCTTTCAAAGAGATAGGAACCCCATTTCAAGCTTGTAAGAGCTTATTTACTCTTCTTATTTTTGGCCTACAAACCATTTTAGATATAATTTAGAAATCTTTATACATTTTGTAACAGGTAGTAGAATGGCTACACTCCTGCTTATTAATAAATATTTATAAAATATTGTGAAATTAAAATGATCTTACACACCTATAGAGAAAAATTCCAAATAGGGTATTACTTGTAGTAACCCAATGGCTTACAGGGTCTGGGATGGCTGCTGCATGCCACCTTATCCCTCAAGTTTCTCTCATGACAATCTCTCCTGTCACAAAAGCAAAATATTCTTGTTCTTATTACTAGCATAGCTCCTGGAATACAGTATGACATAATATCTGAGGGAAGTCTCATAATTAGAAATTTGGTGAAAGATACAAAATATCGACAAATTTAAAACAAATATCAATAGCTTTACTTATTCTACCAAATCAATACCAACAACCACTGGAAACACAGTCAAACACAGCCAGACATACATGGCATTCCTGTTTGCCAGAATATGTCTGTCCAATTCCAATATGGATAGGCAGGAAGGAAGGGGGAGCCAGGTAAAATAAAATTATGGCTATTATCTTTTTAACGTACAGAGGAATAGTCAAACACAGTCAAACACTGGAAACACAGTCAAACACAGCCAGACATACATGGCATTCCTGTTTGCCAGAATATGTCTGTCCAATTCCAATATGGGATAGGCAGGAAGGAAGGGGGAGCCAGGTAAAATAAAATTATGGCTATTATCTTTTTAACGTACAGAGGAATAGTATTGAATTTGAAATCACAGAAGGGATTTGTTTTGTTTTGGGATTTAGCTGATGGTTGTTTTCTGAATCGAGCCTTATTATATCTTTAAATAAGAATATTATTTAAATATTATACTATTGAAGCAATTTTCAGCATATTGTAATACATCTAATGCCTTTTTAAGCATATTATTGACCTCTGTTTGACTTCTAATTAGAGTAAAATGATAGGACATATATATTGTCTACACTTGTCTTTATTAAGAGTTCTATGAGATGTTTACTAATAAAAGAATCTAGGGCCTCCCCGGTGGCGCAGCAGTTGAGCGCTGGGTTGCGAAGCTCCCCACAGCCTTTGCAACGCCGGTTCAATTCCCGGCTGCTTCCCGGCCACCGGAGGAGGGTCCCACATGGCACGCAGACCTCTCCTGCCGCCCGCTGCTCCCCTCAGCAGTGTACTTCGGTCCTTCTGCCTGCTCTGCTACCCACTCTGGCTCTGGTGAATTCTCTCACCCTCCCGCGCTTCTGACTGTACCCAGTGCTTGTATAAATAAATAAAAATAAATCTTAAAAAAAAATTATAAAATAATAAAAAAAAAAGTTTCTAACCCTCCAAAAAATCTACATCCAGACATAATTTTAAACTAGTATCAGGACATTCTGTGGGCCAGGGAAGATAAAATTAACCAAATCCATAGCAGAGGAGAAAAGCTATACAGACCAACAAACCAGAAAATGATGCAGTGCTTCTTGGGACTATAATCCCTCCTCTCTGTCCTCCTGCCACAAGGATGTCGGGACTTTAAAGGAAATTGGAGGCCCAACCATAGACCTGAAGTCTTAAAGAAGGGAGCACACAGAAGTGCACACAGAAAGATGCAGTCTGATCACAAGAAAAGGAACACCATGGTAATGTCTGTTCAGTTTTCCCCCACGATACCAAGACAGCAATAGCAACAACAGGTCTACTTCGCATTCCCGCCTTCCAAACTTGGCCTTGATCTAGAATGAAAAACCTAAAACTAAAACCATAGCTCCACCTCCCAGGCAAAAAGAAAAGCACCCATGAAGTAACCAAATGTACAAGGAGAGCACATTTTGTAACCAGATCAAATATCCTAGCAATATGGAATCCATTAAAAGAATAATAAACTACCTAAAATCAAACTTAAACACAGATGTAATAATAAAAACTGGTGCCCAGAGAATTGGACAACCACGTGGAAAAGAATGAAACAGACCACCCCTGACAGTGTCTAACAGTATACACAAAAATTAGCTCAATATGAACTAAGGAGTGAAATGTAAGACTTAAAATAATAAAATACATAGATGAAAACTTAAGTAACAAGTTCCTCATCTAATAGCCTTAGTAATATTTTTGTAGATGTCTCTAGAAGCAAGACTAACAAGGAAAAATTAACAAGTGAGATTACATTAAACTTAAAAAATTACGAGAAAGAACCATTGATGAAAGGAAAAGGCGACCCATAAAATGAAAACATATTTCTCTATATCAGAGTTGATATTTAATATATATGTATAAAGAACTCATGAATACCAACAACAAAAAGATAAGCAGCCTGATTAAAAGTGAGTAGAGGATCTGAATAGACACTTTCCAAAGAAGACTTAGAAATGATAGCCTAACGCACAGAAAAATTTTCAACATGCCTTATCAGGAAAATGAAAATCAAGGTAAAAATAAGGTATCATATCACAGCATAAGAATGGCTATTATCATAAAGACAAGAAACAACTAACTATGTGAGGGAGGATGTGGAGAGAAGGGAACTCTCATTACCACTGGTGGTGAGGTAAGTTGGTGCAGCCATTGTGAAAATCAATATGGACACTCCTCAAAAGACAAGAATACAAATGCCCTTTCCTAACTCTGGGAATTTACCTAAGAATATAAAAATTACAACTGGAGAGATATATGCACACGCAAGCCATTACATCATTACTTGCAATAGCCTAGCACTGGAAACCTAATTCCCATGGACAGGTGATGGGGTAATGAAGTGGTGTTTATACACAATGGGGTGCTACTCAGCTACAATAATCCATGCCGTTTCCACTTGCAACTATATGGGTGGACCTACAAGGTATTATGCTCAGTGGTAAAAGTCAGATGGAAGAAAAGCAAAGAATTTATGACTTCTCTCATATATGATAAACACATAGAGAAACAAAATGAATGATGTAAATAAAGGAAAGGAACTTGTAGACTGTAAGAAACAGTAGTCATGGCAGAAGAGAAGAGGGAAGAAGGATGGGGAAATGGAAACAAATGGTTTACTGTATTTTGATCAATGGAAACTTGAATTCTGGTGGTAAACATAAGGCAGCAGATGCAGAATTTGATTTTAAAGGCGGTACTACAATATATGATCTTATTAACCAAAATTCAGTAAAAGAAAGAACTCTCTGGGTTGGTATTTTGAAATAGTCCACAGACGTTTCCATGGGACAGGACTACAGAGAGATTCTGTAAGAGCGCTTCCTGAACTCCATTGTGGACTTCGAGTCTATTATCCATTGTTAGTCAGGATCAGTCACCCATCCATCATAGTAATCCCCTTGCTTGTCTGGAAATTCAAAGAAATATGGAACCCAAAGAGACCTAGTAGTGGTCTTAACGTCCCACTCCCACAGTCCAGCAGAACGATCCCTCCCTCTGAAACAGAAAGAAAAACATAAGATGGTTTCATTTATAGGAGTAAGTAGAGGAACCAAACAAGGGATCAGGAAAAAAAATAACTATAATAAGGTAAAAATCAAAATCAACAGGCAACTAGAATCCAGAGACATTCTTTAATGGGGGAGGAGGGGGAGGGATCAGGACAGAGGTGGGACGAGAACAAGGGACTATGATGATGACGCACAGGTGAATTGGTGGTGGAAATTTCATGGGAAATGATACATTGTACAAAAATGAAGGATGACGTAATATATATATTATATGAAGGAATGTCATATATATGAAGGAAGCACTGGAACACAGACAGAATCTCCTCCATAGCTCTTCTGAGAATAAAGTAATCAACAAAGAAAAAATATTTGTATTCAAAGACATGGAGTAAAATTAGGAGATAATTTCACCTGATACACCTTGCTTCTACCTTTGCATAACAGCCATATATATCTTTTCTGTTGCTTCTAAATCAATCTAAACTACCCAGTCATAATCCAGGGTGGCCAACATTGAGGGCCCTGTGCATGACAAGATTCCATAGGCATACATTGTCAGAAATGAAGATTCTAAGGTGACTCTCAGAGCTCCTGAAATAGAATCTACATTTGAACAAGGTCTCCAGGAGATAGAAAAGTACTAAAGTTTGGGTGATCTAGGACACCTCTCACTGTGCTCATTTGGTTTTGTGGTTTTTTAGTTTTTTGGGTTTTTTTTTGTTTGTTTTTGCTTCCCCAAACTACTTTAGTGCCCATCCAATCCTTTGAAATCTATTAGTATTTCTCATTGTATTTCAGCTTCAAGGGATATGGGGGATTAGCACATGTGTGGATGTAATCACCTTCTCTGATACAACTAAGTGACCAAGGTAAGTCACTTTAATATTAACTCCTCCCTCCTTTCATGCATTCTGACATTAAATTCATTGAGTGTTACCCCGCTGCTCTATCCCTTATTTAGTAAGTATCCACAATCCGTTTGCATGTTGACGATAACTTTTGTGGCATAGGCTCCATGAGTATATAGAACTCTGTCCTCTTTAAAATATTGTATGGTTAGCTCAGAAAAGACCATACAATTCAGAGCACTCACAGTAACAAACACAACTGAAGTTTTCTATAAACATGTCAAAAATATCATCTGTATTGGAAAATACTGTATAAAACTCAGTTCACTGAAAACAGTCTGGACTGACCTGATGTTTATGGACTGTAATACCCTGTGGGGCAACTTGGACTTCTTACACATGTTCAAATCCACAATGCCCAGAACAACTTAGCTTTGTCCTTAAGGGAATTCTTGGGCACTAATGTGGAAATTTTACGTCTTTACCCCATCTTCTGGCAAAGGCATACATTTATACAATTGGTTGACTCTGGTGTTCAAAACAAACATATATTTGATGTTTTTCTGAGCTTGAAAAAAAGAAGTCTCCATAACGAAGCAGCATGCAAGGAACTGTGACCTATGTTTTCATTCCAGTGCTACTGTATTTTTATTCACTCTAGAAAACTAACACTTTGAAAGGATCTTCTCAATTTTGCACAAGCATGGGTAAGTTAGAAATAATTTTTCTAATATTCATCATCCATTACAGAAAAAGTTAGACTACTATATTAATTCAAAATAATTTAGGTTGGGTTCAAGATGCAAAAGTAACCAGAAGAAAAATTTTACTTAGATTAATTAGATTATTTAATTATTTAATCAATGTATTTTATATTTGTGCAGTCAGGATAAGCAAAACACCAGACTAAACCATTCCCCTTCAATGTTTTATTCACCTGTTATCATAATGATAACGACTTTACAAGGCAGTTATTGGTAAATAGTAAATTTAAACAATTTTCATTTGAACTGGGTTAAAGATCAAGTGACAATGTTTCCTATGTAAGAAATCTTTGTGGTTATTCTCATAAAGAGTTACATGCTCTTTAACAATCACCCTCTCTGAATAAAACCAGTGACTATGGTAAGTCACTTTAAGATTAACTCCTCTCTCCCTTCATCCATTCTCACATTAAATTCATTTCCCACTGCTTTATCTCTTACATAGAGAGTACCCGCACTCTATGTGACTTAGGTAATTTTTAATTATTAGCGTATCTGGAAGGCAAAGAAGAAACCCGATGCAAAACAAACATATTTAACAGCTGTAATTACAGATCCTGCTATTTATATAACTAGCTTATGTTCCAGTCTTTGGCATAATGTATTCTGCTAATAAAACAGGTGATCTTAAGTAAAAACAAAGAATATCTAGAGAAAATTCTAATAATTGTTAAAAACTAAAAGTAAAGTAATTTAAATACGGCAAAAACTTTCAAGCAGTGAACACTTAAGTATACATGAATATACAGCATAAAATTAAAATCAAAGTCTCTGTTTACAGAAACACCACCGGAAAATTAAGTTGGAATTATAGATGACAGAAATAAAGGATTCCCAGAGCTGACAACTTTTAATAAGAACCAGTTAAGACAACTATTTACTGCTCACATCTGAACCATTCTCCTATTTCATCTGCAGTCTTTCTCTTATATATCACACTACTTCATTGCCGTGTCCTTCCACATTTCCTTGTCTCCAATATTTTCTGCTTCCTGTTTCAGCTCCCTCTTGTTTTCATTTCACTTACATTATTACTTATTCAAGTCTCCCCACCCTTCTTCTCTCATTGTCCTCCTCTTGCTTTTGAAAACTTTCATGACAGTATTCTGCAGGACAAAAATTCACATCTGTCTATGGGCATAGATAAAAGCCAAATGAAATAAATGTCCTGCACAGTTGTCAGAGCAGTTTCATTTTCCTCACTGTTGTACCTCTTACTTCCCATTCACTTATTATGATCCACAACAAACTCCAAAGTGCTCTTTAAAAACAAAGATGAAAAACATAAAAAGCTACTATGAATCTCTCAGTTTCCAAACTAAATAATCTGCTTTGTATGGTTGTTTTTTTTGTTTTCTATCCAAGCAGAGCATTCATTTTGGATTTTTGCACTGTATTTCAATTTGTCCTTCTCTGGTGTTTTAGTGTTCTCAGCATTAATTATATAATTCACACCTTCTCTCAGTTCATGTTGCTTAATATCCTTTCCTGGTCTCACACTCAGCCCTTTTGGGTGAACCAAGGCTCCTGGATGCAAAGGAAGTGAGATAACTGAGTAGAAACTGGCTCTAAAAGAGAAATGAAAGGGAGGTTGGAGAATCCACTGAAAAGTGTGCAGGGACAAAGGAAACAAAGGAGCCCATCAGTAGCCAATGTCATGTCCCAGCACTAGCTCAATGTGAGTTGTTGTCACTCTCCCTGAATTTGAACCACCAGAAACTCACACCGACAATGTCACTGTTGTGGATACGGGACTCAACTGCTGGCCTTCATAGGATTGCTTTTGAATCTAATACTCTCTTTTGTACCTGCACCTTTTTCTTCCTCTCCCCATATTCCAGATGTAGGTTCAGTGATTCGACTTGCCAAATCCAGGCATCCCTCTGACTCTAGGACAAAGGGGAAAGGGAAAGTGAGTTTCTAGCTCTTTTGGCTTCTTGACTGGGTGGTTACCTCTGCAAGCCACAAAGATTAGGTGGTAGAAAAGGGGATCAGATATTGGCCATCTAATAAATGCTGTGCATTCTCTTTGTAATGTATATTCTATACCTTCAAGTTTTTTTCTATTCCCTCCCACTCGTTCAGCACACATTTCAACGGACATCCTATTTCAGTCTCCCCCATGACTCCTGATATTATTTCCGTTAAGATCTAGTAGACTCATGCTACTAATCTCATTTTGCCTGGATGTTCAGAGGACACTCTCCTAATTGCTCTGCCACTGAGTTCTTGATTCAATTTTTGATGACCCTCAGCTCAATCAGGTGAGTCTTCTCTGCTTCACTGACATGCCCTGCATGTCTAACGTCACTGAGTCCTCATACCTCTACTGTCTAAAACCCTTTGCCACTACTTGTCTTCCTTGTCACTCCCAAGGTCCTATCACCCAAAGGCTAGGAATGTTATCTCAACTTGAGCATTTCACATTTTATGTTTTTTAATATTTTATTTTATATAATTCTTACATCATTTTTCATTTTTGCACAATGTATGCATTATCATTTTGGTTATATTCCCCATACAATTGCACCACCCCCTTATTTCGACTCTAGTCTTCCTCTCCCTTTCCCTCCCCCACCCCAGAGTGTGTCTCTGGTTTATAGTTGCTTGTTGCTTGTTGATTTTGATTTTTAGTTTGTATTAATTAGTCTTTTTCCTGGTCCCTATTTTAGGTGTTCTAAATTCCTGCTATGAATAAGACCATCTGATATTTTTCTTTTTATTTCTGACTTATTTCGCTGAGCATGATCCCTTCCAGCTCCATCCATGTTGCTGCAAACTGCATGTGTTTATCTTTTTTGATTGCTGAGTAATATTCCATTGTGTATATGTACCACATCTTCTTGATCTATTTTTGGGCATTTGGGTTGTTTCCATAGCTTAGCTATTGTAAATAGTGCTGCTATAAACAAAGGGATGCAGGTGCCCTTTGGAACTAATGTTTCTGTGTCATTTGAGTAAATAGCTTGGAGTGGAATTGCTGGATCATATGGAAGCTCTAGCTTTAGTAGGTCATGAAATCTCCACACAGCTCTCCATAGTGGTTGGACCAGTTTGCACTCCCACCAAAGGTGCAGATGAGTTCCTTTTTCTCCACAACGTCACCAACATATGTTGTTGCTAGTTTTTTTAATATGTGCCATTCTCACTGGTGTAAGATGGTATCTCATTGTAGTTTTGATTTGCATTTCCCCAATTACAAGTGATGTTGAACATTTTTTCATATGTCTGTTGGCCATTTGCATTTTCTCTTTGTGGAAGTTTCTTTTTAGTTCTTCTGCCCATTTTTTGACTGCATTATTTTCTTTATTTTTGTTGAATCTCATCAGCTCTTTGTAGATTTTTGTGATGGGTCCTTTATCATTAGTGTTGGAATACTTCACATTTTAATCATGTGGAGGGTATTGGTTTTTAAGTGTTGATTCTTATATACTTCTGACAAACTGAATTAATTTCTACCTTAAAACTTCAAAATGAGTCCTCCCCTGGTGGCACAGAGGTTGAGTGCTGGGTTGAAAATCTGCCTGCAGTCTCTGCACGCCATTCCATCCTGGGCTGCCAGCAATTGTCCCACATGGTGTGCCGACCTCCCCTGCCAAGTCCAATGCTCCCCTCAGCAGTGTATTTCCTCAGTTTGTCTGTTCTGTTCCCCGCTCTGGCTCTGGCTCATTCTCTCACTCTCCCGCGCTTCTGACTGTACCCAGTGCTTGCATAAATAAATAAATAAATAAATCTTTAAAAAACAAAAAAACAAAAAACACAAAAAAAATCTTCACAATGGTACTGCTCTAAACAAGACACTGACATGTAACCTGCTTTGAAATCCACTACACACCAATAACATTGTCCTGAACAGTGCTTTGACTGTAGTTTCCTATCCATGATGTCTAAATTTACTAACATTAACCTCAAAAATTCACTATTAACCTCAAACATTGACCTGGAAAATACACTCTTTTGGGCCTTCTTGTAGCAGGTTGAGCGAAGTGCTATAAAGCTATCCACACCTCTGTAGCCGGGTTCATTTCCCAGCTGGCCAGAGAGACACCCTCTCCTGTCTCACCTGCTGCACCCCTCAGCAGTGTTTTCAGTGTGCCTGCTCCACTCCCTGCTCTGTCTCTGATGAATTATCTCACTCTCCCCGGCCTCTGGCCTGTACCACACTTCTTGCATAAACAAATAAATCTTAAAAATAAAATAAAATAAAATAAAATAAAATAAAATAATGGCTCTGCAGTATTTCAGTGTGTGTCTTAC